TTTAGGTTCTTCAGCATTTTTTGGTTGGTTTGTTTGTTATACCCTATTATTAAGGTTTTTTCCAGGTTTCTGTTACAACTTAAATTATTCTGTTGCTGTGCTTAATATGTGAGAACAGTATCCATTGTTTTTTTTGGAAGGAATGAAAATCAAACAAATATATATATGATGCCTTTCAAGAGAAATTAATTTTATGTTTTCTTTTGTTCTGTTTTCACATAAGAATGGAAAGTATTTAAAAAGCAATGGCATTTGCTTGCTCTGGGTTGACATATAGCGAGGGTCTGTATCAGAGTCCTAATTGCAAAATTAAAACTTACATACTATTAAAGTGGAGAACCCAAATCTTTTGTTAAGATGCTTCAATAACAAAAGGTCCAGGATATAGGAAATAGTGTGTGCCATTAGTATATCATACATCTGCTAATAAGTTGAGGGAAGGGAAGAGATATAGGTGTTTATGTCAGCTTGACCATTCAAGCATTTTCCAGATAACAGGATATGGAGTGCTGTCCAGAAATACCACCTCGTTCCCAATGTTTGTTGGCATAAACAAAAACATTGCCAAACAATTGTCAACAATCACTGCATTTTTATCTCATGTTATAAAGCTGTCTTTAATTATGGAAACTCTAGATTATTTTTTATTGTAATCTCTGCATTCAAAAAAATATTTTGTAACATTTTAAAAATTGTTACATATGGAATCTTCTGGTATTTCCTATAAAAGCCTTTTCCTATATTGCCGTGGAGACCTCAGAATAGAAAGCCATATTCCATGGTGAGGTCAAAGGGCAGCAATAACTTCATTTGACTCCTTGCCAACCTCATCTTTTTTCAACCTGATATGGTGGCTTCAAAAGAGAGGTGGTTGGGAAATGCACTCCAGCTCATCTGTTGTGCAGCATAGTATCCATTTAGTTAACTAAGCACCATTGAAAAGAAAACTCCAAGCAAACTATGCAAAGTAGCTTTATTTCTTAGATCATGCTCTTGAATGAAATGAAGTTACGTCCAAACACAACTATTTAAATCAGTGTTGTTGGAAAGGTATAGCCACAGAAGTGTCAGTATGTCAGGAAATTCATATGAAACTTCAAATAACTTTGAGGGAAGCAGAGACCTGAGAGACTTGCCGTGTCCCTAGAGTTTATAGAGCTTATCAGTTGTGAAAGAACAGAGAAGGGATGGACTTCAAAGGGATTTTCTGCAGCTCTGAGAAACTTTATAGTTTATCTAGCCTATGGAAGTATGTCTGTATGAATGGTCTCTGTTAGACTTAACCCCACCTCCCCCTTTCCTGAAACAACTGCAACCCCCTCTGCTTTTTCACTGGCCCAGTCCTCACAGAGCTCCTGTGCTGAAGCTGTGCAGGGAACTATGGACTGTGCTTACCGAGGAGAATTATCGATGGTGTGTGGTAGCTCAGGAGTAGGATTCCTGCACTCCCATACATAGTTATAGTTTCCAGACTGTGTTTGGATTGCTTCTGGCTAACATGGTATGTGCAAAGAGTTCATGTGTAGTCAGCTGGTTGCCACAATGCTTTTTGACAAGAATTGTCCTTTGGTAGGAATAAACGTCAATAATGTCAGACTTGCTTGTTTAACCGTGAATATAGAAAGAAAAAATTGAAATGAGAGCATTACTTTAATGACAGAAGTCATTAGCTGCATGTTAGAAACTGTCTTTGCAAGCCATCTTGGAAACAGATCTTATCTTTCTCCCATTGAATTCTGTAAGGTATTTTCGGTTTTAGAGTTAGTGTATGTAGGTGTTATTTTTCAGTGTTAAAAGGAGGGAAAGACAACCTTCATACGACTCATTGAAAAAAGAGTTAGCTGGAAGATGAAGATTCTTCCAGGAGAAGGGAGTTGGAAGCCACCGTGCTGCTAGAAGGCTATGACCTGGTTGCCATTACTGCAACCTGGCGGGACAAATCCCATGACTGGAGTGTGGCTATTGATGGCTACAGGCTATCCAGAAGAGACAGGCAAGGAAGGAGTGCTGGAGGTGTTGCTGTCTACATCAAGAAATGGATAGAGTGCGAAGAGCTGTCTCTGAAGTGTAGCCATGAGCAGGTTGAAAGCTTATGGGTAGGAAAAGGGAGCCTTGTGGTAGGTGTTTACTACAGGCTGCCTGATTAAGGGGAGCCTATGGATGAAGCCCTCTTACACCAGCTACAGGAGGCTTCATGCTCGTAGGCTCTTGTCCTGCTGGGGGACTTTAACCACTCCAACATCTGCTGGAAAAGTAGCACGGTGAGGTGTAGGCCATCCAGGAAACTCCTGGAGAGCATTGAGGTTAACTTCTTAAGCCAGGTAATAGACAGTCCTACCAGAGGGGATGCGATACTGGACCTGATGGTCACCAATGCCAGTGAGCTAATTGCTGACATCAGGATTGGAGGCAGCCTGGGCTGCAGTGATAATGCACTGGTGGAGTTCACAGTCCTGAGGGATATGGGTCAGGCAAAAAATAAAGTCAGGACCCTGAATTTTAGGAAAACAAGCTTTCAGCTGTTCAAGGAGTTAGTCAATAGGACCCCCTGGGAAACTGCCCTTAGGGACAAGGGAGCAGAACAGAACTGGCAGATCTTTAAGGACCCTTTCTATAGAGTGCAAGAGCTCTCGATCCCCAGGTGTAAGAAATCAGGAAAGGAAAGCAAGAGACTGGCAGGGATGAGTCAAGACCTGCTGGTCAAACTAAAGGGCAAGAAGGAAATGCACAGGCAGTGGAAGCAGGGACAAGTATACTGGGAAGAGTATAGGGACGCTGTCTAGTTGGGTAGGGATTGGGTCAGGAAGGCCAAGGTACAGCTGGAGCTGAATTTGGCAAGGGGCACAAAGAATAGTAAGGGCTTCTATAGATAGGTCAGCCAGAAAAGGAAGGTCAAAGAAAGCGGACCTCGTCTGATAGACATGACTGCGGCAAACTGGTGACAATGGACAAGGAGAAGGCTGAGGTACTCAACTTCTTTGCCTCAGTCTTCACTGGCAACGTCTTTTCCTGCATCTCTCAAGTGGATGGACCTCAAGACAGGGACTGGGGGAATCAAGTCCCTCCCACTGTAAGAGAAGATCAGGTTCGTGACCACCTGAGGAACCTGGACATCCATAAGTCTATGGGACCTGATGAGATGCATCCCAGAGTCTTGAGGGCTGTTGTAGTTGCCAAGCCACTTTCTGTGATATTTGAGAAGTCATGGCAGTCAGGTGAAGTCCCTGGTGACTGGGAAGAGGGAAACATTGCATCTATTTTTACAAAGGGTAGAAAGGATGACCCTGGGAGCTACCAACCTGTCAGCCTCCCGTCTGTGCCTGGGAAGATCATGGAACAGATCCTCCCAGAAGCTATGCTAAAGCACAGGGAGGACAGGGAGGTGATTCAAGTCAGCCAGCATGGCTTCACCAACAGCAAGTCTTGCCTGACCAACCTAGTGGCCTTTCATGATGGAGTGAGTACATCAGTGACAAGGGAAGAGCTATGGATGTCATCTGTCTAGACTTCTGCAAGGTCTTTGACACAGTGCCCCACAGCATCCATCTCTCTAAATTTGAGAGATACGGATTTGATGGATGGACTGTTCAGTGGATGAGGAAATGGTTGGATGGTCACATCTAGAGGGTAGTGGTCAACATCTCAGTGTCCAGATGGAGAGCAATGATGAGTAGTGTCTGTTGGGGTCCCTGTTGGGACCAGTACTGTTTAATATCTTCATCAATGACATAGACGGTGGGATCAAGTGCACCCTCAGCAAGTTTGCATATGACACCAAGCTGAGTGGTGCGGTTGACATGCCTTAGGGAATGGGATGCCATCCAGCGGGATCTGGACAGGCTTGAGAAGTGGGCCTGTGTGAACCTTAAGAGGTTCAATAAGGCCAAGTGTAAGGTCCTGCACCTGGGTCAGGGCAACCCTTGTTATCAATACCCTGTTGGAGTGGGTCCAGAGGAGGCCACAAAAACAATCAGAGGGATATAACACCTCTCCCATGGGGAAAGGCTGAGAGAGTTGGGGTTGTTCAGCCTGAAGAAGAGGAGGCTCCGGGGACCCATTCTAGCGGCCTTCCAGGACTTAAAGGGGGCCGACAGGAAAGGTGGGTGCAGACTTTTTAGTAGGGCCTGTAGCAATAGGACAAGGGGTAGTGGCTTTAAACTAAAGAGGGTAGATTCAGACTAGATAGAAGGAAGAAACTGTTTATGATGAGGGTGGTAAAACTGGCACAGGTTGTCCAGAGAGGTGGGAGATGCACCATCCCTGGAACATCTAAGGTCAGGTTGGACGGGGCTCTGAGCAACCTGATTGAGCTAAAGATGTCCCTGCTCACTGCAGGGGGGTTGGATTAGATGAGCTTTAATGGTCCCTTCCAGCCCAAACTATTCTATGATTCCATAAGGGGAGGAGTGTACTTTTGCACCCCTTTATATATCCATCTGATTTAGCACTCTTTGCTCAGGAATTTGAACTACATTGATTGAAAGGTCTATAGAAACTGCAGAAAAGAATATGGTAGTCAAAAAGGAAACTATGGATGCCACTTGCTTTTACAGATTGCAGCATTATTAAGCCCTTTAAATCTGTGATGCTGTCTTGCAGTAGTAAGCGTAAGGTGGTACAATAATGTCTTAGGAAAGAAAAGTGTTTTTAATTTAAGAAACAGCTCCTCCCTTAGAGTAAGGGAGCCCGAGTAGCTGGGTAACAAGTGTAAATTTTTAATCTGTAATGATTCCTAGTCATTGACTAGAGTTGTATTTAGATAGTAGGACTCTGTATATGTATAAAAATGTTTATTCTATCCTACTCCTTGTAATCAGTCTTGGGATGTTACTGTGACTGTTCAAGATCTTAGGTGAAACTGTGTGTTGTGAGTTTGTTTTTTTTCTCTCTTCCCATTGTGTGCAGTGGGGCTCCCGAAAAAACCTGCTGGCAGTGAACGTCAGCTCTGTGGTGATCCTCAGTGAGCAGGCCATGTCGTCTCATTTTCATCAGCAAGTGGCTGTTGTACAGGTGTCTCCCAGCCTGTTTAATGTGACCATCTTCAGCACAGGAGCCACACACAGTCTTCATGTTGATATGAATGTTAACGGAGTCTTTGCTACTAAGGTTAATTGGGGTTTTTCATTTATTTGCTTGATCGTTTGCCTAGTTAGGTGTATGGAGACCAAACTTTCTAAGTCTTTAATATAACCCTTCTTTGATATTCTGTTTATTGTGCAATGGAAGTATTGTCATGACTGTAGCAGCGATGCTGTGGCAGAGCTGATTTTCAGATAGCACAGTGACTCTAATTCTGTGGGTGCTGACCAGAGAACTTTGTGGTTACCAAAAGCCTTCCAACTCAATGTACAGAGGAACTAGTAAATGGTGGCTATTGTGGGGAAGGTCTTGCTGTGTTATTGCCTGAATTTCTGTATGATTCCAAAAGAAGCTGAATGTATATATTCTTTTGCTTTTTTGATTGGTTTAGGATGCTGTAGTATTCTGGAACGGGAAGCAAGTTACTGTCTTTGAGTGTTCAGGAGATACCTTCAGAAGTGCAGGTAGGACTTAGAACACTGGTCAGAGTTGCAGTGGTTCTCTTCCTCCAAAGTTATACGTTCTCTTCATTCATGGTAGCCGATGGACTGTAATCATAAGTGTAAAGTGAAACATATTGTTAACGCTAATTAGAGTTCATATTCCCATTTTGCAGAATAGAAAGATTAGGTTGTAAAAATCATCAACAAAACCAGAACTCAACTCCTACATCTGTGCTTTAGTCACTAAATATGCTGGGATACAATGTGTGGGTTAACCTCAGAATATGTTGGTGTTCCTGTAGTAGCAGTGCAGCAACAGAAGTAAAACCGAAGGTGATGTGCATCTGTAGGTATAAAATTAAAATACATACCCTTTTAACCTCTGTTCAGCTACAACTCGATCCTTGAAGTACCTAAAGACTAAATGTGCTTCATTCATAGAGTTCCTGAGGCACCCAAGTATGTGACTGGCCTCGACAAAACCAAGCACCTCATGGCTGTTTCCCCCAGGTTCAGTGTATACCTGTCCATCACACCTGGACTTGAACGGTATCCTCAGAGCTAGTGTATCATATAGGGCCCTGCACAACACACCATATGAGGATAAGGCTGTCTTTTTTAAGTAAATCGTTCCAATGGTTTATCATGAACAGAATTTTTTTCTGACTTTTGTAGCCATAGCTCCTGTTGCCTTCTACAGATAGGTCATGGTGATGGCTGTTGAAGGCTTTTCTGTTTTGCTTGGGAGAAAGTGTAGTAAACTTTACATTGTACTTCCATAGGAACTGGGAAGGAATGGGTTTTAGTTCCAGCTGTCAGGAAAATCTGTTCCATAAACTGCTATATATACAGCTAAGTCAAGTAAATTAGTTTTTCCTATGATTAATTCTCCCTAAATATTTCTGCCTTGAGAAACAGGCTATGCAGAATTCCGTCAATCCCATCCAAAATCTTGAGAGTTTAGGCTTTGTCTTTTAAGAACCATCAAGTGTTTTCTGAGAAGTGGCTTATCTTGTCTATGTTCACTCAATTATTTCATAACTTTTCCATGCTGCATCAATGTGTTATTACAACAAAGGTCCCAACAGTCTACAACATTCATGAAATTGAGTCACTCTTCTTTTCTGACAGATACCTTTATCACTCTTCAGTTGTAGTTCAATGAAGGAAGGAGTGAATTCTCTTAGCAGAACCTCACATTGCACTAATCTTTCTCTTTCTTTCACTCCCTGTATCAACTCTTTCCTCATCCTCTCCCGCTTGTTTTCGTGGGCACAGTGTACAAAACACCCATCTTCAGTAAGAGTCCCAGCTTTTGGCTGTAGTGGCAGAATGAAAGAAGGCTGCAACTCCAAGGAGTTTGGGAATCAGTAGAGACTGATGGGTTAAAAAATGGATTTGGTGCAAAAGAGTGGACATTGAATGCTTTAAGTCAAAATTCCTTTTTTTTTCTTATAAAAAATCTTTTTACAGTAGTGACAGCTTTATTCTGATTGTTCCAGGCTCTTTCCTTTGTGACTCTCCAGTTCTGTCCATGCATGGAGAAAATCTGTACACTGTTGAACCCTGTCGGGTCCAGGTCCGCACCTGGCAGGTAAGGGCTGATGAAACCACGAAGCGATGAATATGCCTTATTGTTTTCAAAGATTGGTGTTACAGCTTAAAAGTTAAATGGATGTTCTGTAAATCTATTTGTCATAGAAAAAATACTTTGAGTATATCAGCAGAAAAATCTTTGGCGTTTTGTGTTCTTTAAAAAGCCTGTCACTGCACTGTATCTAACAAGTCTTTATAAAAGAAAACAGAATTTTATAAGGGCCAGACTTTAAGAGGGTCAAAATTGCATGCAGGTTGAATATGCTTGTGTATATTACTGACAGGAAAATGAACATACTGATTATTCTTGTAAGATAGTGAAAAATACCCCCTGCACATTACGTGTGTTCCTGCAAAATCTTTTGCTTAACCTTTGCAGCTTCTGCTAGACCGTGAGAACCAAAAGGAGAAATCCAATTTTCAGAGTTCTATGATACATAATTTTATTTAAGAAATAAATATTTTATTCAAGAATGGGTGGGGTTTATCACAATAAGGACTGATTTAATTCCTATCTTTATTTTTGTAGCTGTATATTAAGGGACGTTCAGGGACCTATATTTCTGTATCTTAGTTGAAAAAGCTGTATTATTGAAGAAATTGTTGCAGAAGGATACCTCTGAATTTTTACTTTTTTGGAGGCTTCAACCAAAACACAGATTGCATTTGTAGAGACCGTGTGTGTGGTGGTAGTGATTTGTCTGACTTAGTTCAGCAGTTAGTTACTTAACTTGGTGACAAAATAAGTCCCTTCTAGTTAGACTCTGAACACACAAACCTGGTGTTACACATTTCTTCTTAGGGCACAGTTAAACAGCTGCTGGTGTTCTCTGAAGCAGAGGGGAATCCATGCCTCTTGGATGTCTGCGGAAATTTCCTGGCTGTGGGAACCGATTTGGCTCATTTTAAAATCTTTGATCTCTCTCGCAGGTATTAATAAGCCTTTTAAAAGCATCCATTTATAATTGAGTGTGTATCTTGGCAGGAGCAGGGAATCTTTACTTGATTGTCATCTGATGAAGAGTGGTAGCCACTTTGAATCTTGAGGCAATATGTGCAGCCTGTGTGAACTGATGGCCTATCCCTAAAGCAAGGGAAGAGCCACAGAATTATTTGACAAATCGTGGGATGAGTAATAATAATGATAATTTTTAAAAGAGGATATTGTGAGGGATATTTGTATACATTTGAAAGTGGGTGGAGAATTTATGGAAGATCAAGACAAGGATGTCACATGTTTCTGCTCGTAACTTGAACAAGACCTTCATCTCAGAAGAGTTGAAACATTAAAAAGAAAGCTAGGTCTCCTCATAAATCAACAAACTTGACTTAGTGAATCCATGGAGGAAGCGAATGTAGAATTGTGGACGTGCTATTCTTCCTTCTGTTTAGGTTAAGAGAAGAGTTTACCTGACTTTGTTCAAACTTTACTGTGTGTTCCCATGCTGACAAACAGCTGTGGCATGAAAAAGATACGTGCCTGACATGACCTTCAGTTCAAAAATTTATCTGCTAATGACAGGTGTGACTTTGAAAACCTGAAAAACCTCATGAGTGAAATGGATTCTGTTCTTCCTGACATACTGTTACCAGAGGAATGCTAAAATCTGGGTAGTTACCCTCTTGGAAGCTTGTTACCTGTGTTGAGACTGCACAAATTCCACATGGGACACAATTGAAGGTTACTGGATTTGGGCAGGTTGTAACTACACAAATATTGGATTATGATGTTTGATAGTGGAGAAAAAGTAGGTTAACTCCTGCACATGGTGTTAAATTTTTGAGGCTAGTAATGAAAATACTCCTTCTGAAACTACAGTGTAGGATTTTTAATTTCAAAGCAAGCATGGTTGGCTTAGAAGAAATCAGAAGTCTAAACATGTAACCCAAGAATATTAATTTTACAGAATCAAAGATTTTTTTTTTAATGGGGTCATATTAAGACACCTCTTTGTGTTACATTCTTTTGATTCATGAGATGTGTGCTCTTTGTTGCTGAATGAGTATTGGGTTTGTATCTATACTGGCTGTAAGATTCTTTTGAGATTATGAAAGTGGAGGGGGGGGAAGGGTGGGTGTTAAGTATGTGAATGATACAGATACAGTCTTTTGGAACTTATGTACAGAGGGAAAGTGACCAGTAAGATGATACAAATACCACCCTGCCCCCCAATGGCATTTCTTTACTTCTGTGCCACCGTGTATTTTCCATACAAAGAACTACTTTCATCTGATGGGCTATATTCAGCATTCATGGTACTGTTCAACTTACTTATGTAGAAAAAGACCTCTACATTAAAAAGTCTGGTAGGATGTTCTTGCTGTATAGCCCTGTTTCGGGAATCCTGTAGGAACACTGGAGTTCATTCTTGCCGATTCATTGAGGAAAGAGGGTCTCATTAACTTCTTCCTGAAAGAAAGGCAGTTGCAGCAATTCTCTGGAGAGGAAGCTGCAGTCTGGGCCAGTGGTGTCATAAGGTAGAAATAGTTTGTCTGTAAAAGTCTTACCCATAATTTGAAAAATGTTTTGGCTGATGCGTGTTGCCAGTTGCTTACCACCATATGATTTAAGTTTATTCCTTTCCACAGAGAGGCAAAAGTGCACTGCAATAGCAAGAACTTCTCTGAGCTGTTTCCTGGCCTTGGAGGCATTGCATCTGTCAAGTGCAATGCTAATGGCAATAAAGTCAGCATCCTTGTTAGCCAGGTGAGGCAAAGCTCTTCACTTACTGCCCTAGGACCTGACCATCAGTTAGTAGGCTGGTGCAGTTCAAGAAGATTACTGGAGACACAAGATTCGCTTCTCAGAAATAAACCTATGTGTTCTATGCAGTGTATTGGGTCTTGGAATGTCATGTCCAGGCAAGTAACTAAACACTAAAATTAAGGTATGTGAAGGTTTTGTGCATTTGGTGAGAACAACCCAGAAAAGGAAGCAATATTTTGGTTACAAAAGCTACTTTGTAGCATTTCAAAGAAATCGGAGGCTATCTTGCTACAATAGAAAAACAGCAAGAAATTTTGTGGTATTTCTTCCAAAGAATGTTCTTGTGTGATTACCAGTAAACAAAACTGTGAGCACGAATTGGATGAGATAATCATACCTTTTTTTCTTTCTGACTGCATGCTTCAGCAGCTTCTGTTTTCCCTCGTAGGTGGATGGGAACGTTGATTCCAAGATCTGTTTCTATGATGTTGAAATGGACAAAGTTACACTCTTTGATTTCAAGGCTGAACAGGGAAATGGTAGAGAGAAGCTTTCTTCTCAACAAGGCACTGACAAGTAAGAAGCTTTTATTTTGAGAAGTGTTACTTTTGGATTTAAGATAGGGATCTACCTTGTGAAGACCAGCAACACCTTGATACTGACATTCCCCTGTGTAGGAGCTTGTACGGATATTATTTTATTTCTAAAGAATTAATTAAAACTAATGCATTGTATGTCAGTCAGCCCATTCTCTTCCAATATGTGAACTAGGGAGTGTCAAAGGAAGGTACCAGATAGCAAGCTCAGTATAAACAGGAGGAGGCCGTTCTTCAGACAGCATGCAGCTGAGCTAAGGAGCTCATCACCAAAGGAAGTTAGAGATGATAAAGGAAAGGTTCATGGAGGTATTGGACAAATTCACAGAAGAGAAATGCAGTGAGAGTTACTAGGTATGTGGAAGCCACATCTGGCTCAGAGGTCTCAGAGAGGATGATTGGCGTTGAGGCAGTATGTGTAGAGGTATTATGTGACTAGAATCAGGATCTGGATCTTAAAATAAAGAAAAATCTTGAAAAGTTACTCTTTCATGAAGAGTTTACAGGATAGGAACTGACAAGAGGACATCCTGAAGTTCCTCCTAGGAAAAAAGTTAATTTTTAAGTCCAATACAGTGTGTTTTTATGGATAAAAACTCATGAAATGTCTATCTAGAACTGACAGCTTTGTTTTCATGCAAGCTGTTCTGCGGTAAAAACGTTAGAAATCCTAGTAGCAAGGCAGCAAAATGCAGTGAGCTAGGAATTCTCATGGAAGTACAGTGGAAAGTTAAGGTACAAATTCCCATCTGGTTTTACAATAATTTTTCTGACTATTTTTCTTCAGGCAAAATAGTGTTAGAATAGAAGGTGGTTTGCCTTTTTAGCAACTATTCACTATAGATAGTACAAGCAAAAAAGGATTTCTTCTCCTTATCACTGAAAACCAGAAGGAACTACCCAGCTCATCAAAAACTAAGGACAGTGCAAATTTGGGGCCTTATGTCTTGGTCAGTTATGCAGACAGTGTAATGAGTAGCAAGTTGTTCTTGAGTGTAGTATCTTGTGTAGCCCAACAGAGGCCACCACAAGCTAGTAATGCCTTTGCACTGGTATTGAAATGCTAGATGGTGTCAGTGCGAATAATCCATTTATCTGTGCTTCATTTTAGAGTATCTTGAAATTGGAATGAGTAAACTCACCAGAAAATAATAATAATCTACACTTCTCCCCTTTTCTCTCTTCTCCTGAGGCAGAATCTAAACACTCCCAATTTTTTTTACACAAATACTGTTTTTCAGTTTGAGCAGTTTATTTTGAATTCAGTGCCATGGATAGGACACAGTGTATTTCTGCATCCCTTTGAATCTCTCCCTTAATTTGCGTTCCAGCCCTACTCCAGTCCTTCCCACAAAGTCCATGCTTCAGTGGTGACAACAAATGAGGAAAAATATTTTAATAATGTCTTTGGTTTCTCTCTTTTTAAAAATTTGACACCTTTTTATAGTCTGTATTTTTTCAGGAGACTCCTAAGCCATTGATAAAATAGTCTGATTCTGTACGTCTAGAGTCTTAACATGGCCGGCACTGAAGTAGTATTTAAATGCCTGAAGGAGGCAGTAAGATATTTCTTATTTAAACTGCTGCAGGATGGCTTTCCTAAGGCTGCAGAGGTTGTCTTCGTGCTTAATGTGCTATTTCACAGTGCCTTGGAATTCTTCACACACAGTATGGTGTTCAGGCTCAGTACTGAGGAAGGGAATAAACTCTGGCATATCTAGAGACTGACATGCCCCAGCTGCAGGTCAGGTTCAGCTGCAACTCAGAGTTTCCCTCAGCCGTGAGGAGTTCAGCAGTTCAAAGCATGCTACACGCCCAGGTCTCTTTGCTGAACTCTCAGTAGAGAGATCTGTTGCCTGAGAATTTAAACTAATTTCTTATTTTCCCTATCAGTTTAATCACAATTGTCTAGTTGTGATCTTGTGTGACCGCTGCTTAGCTGGATTTGAACGTGAGGCACATGGACTAGAAACTCTCTCTTTACTCCTCATCAAAGTGCACATCAGTGTATTCAAGCTGTCTTTAACCTGTCTGGGCACTTCTCGCAGTGCTGGCAATTACCACCTTGGGGCAGGTTGTAAAACCCCCAAGAAGACTGAGCTGAGGTAGTGCCCATGTTACAGTACCTACACTGGTAGCAGTCGCTAAGGTAGACCTTTTGAAAGATGGTCAAGTATTTCTGTGGGACGGTAATCTCAGTGGAGGGAGATTTTGGATGCCTGTTTGTATTTGTGGCAGTGCCACCTTTTTTTCTACTGAAATGCTTTATGTCCTGTAGACATGGCTAACGTATACAGGACAAACTAAAAGTGACATTGCCGTGTGCAATGTTAGGAGGCAGGGAGATGCATATGGCTGATGTTACTGGTGTAGATACCTGATCATCTGAAAGTTATCCCTTGGTTAGTCCATTATTTACATGCTTGTGCTGAATGGGCTGGAATTATTTTGTTTCCCTTTCTAAATTTTTTTTTTCTTCTCCCTTGGTAGGTCTGTTGTGGAGTATCCAGAGTTGCACAGTCACATCCCTGCTTGCCATTTCTGGGACCAGAGTGAACCAAGACTTTTTGTATGTGAAGCAATTCTTGAAACAGACCTACAGTCTCCAGAGCAGAAGAAAAATGAGACTGAGAGCACAGTATGGTCTTTCTGTTTGTTTAACCTTGCTTTACATGGAGTTCTCCCTGTCCAAGTAGTAAATCATTGGTCCTTCATTAAGGATATGGGAGTAGGTAGTAGACATAGTCTTGTATAAAAGTGAGCAGTAAAATTATGTGTTTGGTGTCTGTGGCTTCAGGCAGTCACTGTAATTAGCTTTCTGGTTTAGCCCTAGCTTGAATACAGTGACAGAAAAATAAGTTATTTCTTTATCTATGCTAGAATTTGGAGGATGATCATAATGTAAGCATGTATCTGGGCTACAGTTTTCCAGGTGACATTAATGGGAGAATTGGTAATCTAGAGGTTTGATACTTATTCTCATTTTATAAAAAATAATGCAGATTTTATATCCTGAGTCCAATTCTAGCAGCAAGAATTAATTTGGTAGAATAACAGGGAAGTACACTCTTCCTACCCAGTTCTTATCATCTTCTGCTTTGCTGGACAGACATTGTACATCTTTATGGTATTTCTCAAACTGTCTTTTACGGTCTTTTTTACATTAGAAAAAAGATTTCATTTTTATTGATCAGAAATTGTCTAATAAAAGATGTCTTTCATCAGACAAACAATTCTTCCCCGCTTTCCCTGCTAATGTACTTGTAGCAGTCCTTAACATTTTGTCTGCACAGAACTGCCTGTCCTTCATAACTATTCCATTGATTTGAAATTTCCATGTTGAGTTAAAGTTTTCTGGTTTGTGCATGATTTTAGTTAAACCTCTTCCAATTAGAGATAGAAAGCTCTTTGTTTCTTTTGTTGGTTGAAACAACTTTAGAAAAGTCATGGGAAGATCGAGGTAGAAAGGAGGAATGGAATAAGGATGTCTCAAAAGACCTTGCTAGGGTCTTCTAGCAAAGAGAAGAACACTTCAACCTGATATTCCTAATGTAAACAAGTAAAAATGCTTAGCTTCTACATAAAGTGGAAAAATAAAAATGTGTAAAAAGAGTGCAACTTTTTGGCTCTTAGTCAACAGAACTTTTAACTATGTGCTTAACCTTTAATAAATGAGAAGTTTGATTAACTTTAGTTGGAAGTAAATGCTTCGTTTTGACTGGAGTAAGGTCAATATTTAAGCTGTTACAAAAACTCTTTTAAAATGGCTGGTATACTCCCTGGGAACTCAAAACAGTCAGTGAGCTGCTGAAATTATAATAGAAATAATACAGCATTTAAAAAAAAAAAACCCAAACAAACAACCGTTGTTGAAAACAGCTGGGAATATTTCTTTGACCTGAGTCAGATCTGTCAGAGAGACTTCTAGAGTAGCAGTCTGTGGCCAGGGACTTCCCTCTTTATGGTTGGTGAAGTTGATTCCTGAAAGGCAGAGGTAGAGATCTCTTTGCAGGAGGAGCAGTCTGTAACGTAGAATGAGTTGTTGGCTACTTATAGGGAGGAAGCTGCAGCTCTGCCCATTCCAGCAGGCATGTGTGTGAATGTATATGACATGTTATTTTCAAGAGAAGGTTCTGCCCAGTGAATATGGAAAATAAAAATGAAACGAAAGAAGGATATTGCAGCATAAAAACAAAACAATGCTTTACTTCCTTTTCCAGATGGATGTTTGGATTATATCATTCTTCAGTACCGAAGAGCATGGTCTTTTGCTTCAGGAGAGCTTTCCATTGCCTTCAGCCTATGAGGTTCTTCTGGGCGTAGAGGTGCCACACTATTACTTTGCAAAAAAGGTGAGGAAATCTTTCACAATTCCTTCTCTACGCAGTGAAAAGTCTGAACTTACGGGAAGGGATCAAATTTAACCAAATTGAGTCTGGAGTAAGTAGAGCAACTCAAATGGCAGTTGCTGCATCAGATGTGGAAATGACAGAAAGATAATTCTAATGCTGGGTGTACTTGGCACTATTGTGGAAATTATAATGAATTGGCTTTTCATGAATATTGCAAGCTGGATGTGACGTACAAGGATAGGAGATACAGTAATTACCAGGGAATGCAACTAAAAAAGGGATGTGAAAAAAAAATTCGCTTTCTGCTTTAAGTATTCAGTGTGCCTATGGCAAGTAAGGGGGTGTGTGGGGGTCAAATTTGTGTAGGCCATAGGAGGGGACATTTCCTACCAGCTTCAGCAGAAGCAACCCATTTTTTGTTGGAATGGAGCTTAATCCCCACAGAATACCAAACAGAGCAAGAATACTTGTCTTGCACTATTGCTGAATGCCTATGTGCTGCAATTTTTTTTTAACTCCTTAAGCTTGAATACTAATCCAAAATTGTTTGCGTCTTAGGTAAATAATAGCATGCGTAATTCCATGCATACTGGAAGAGATGAAGCCTGTTACCTATAGATTGGTTTTCTGGTTAAGCTCTGAAGTGATTTTCTCAGTGCCTGTTAACACGATAATTTGCACTGCCCTCTTCTTGTAGGGGGAGCTTAACAGAGCCTGTTTATTCTACCAAGGCATTTATTTTTGTAAAATGTGCAGGAGCTTAGTATTAATGAGACTTCTAATCCTCTAAATCTTCTGAATAAGACAGACCAATGTGATCACATAAATTTAATTTCATGTAGTTCAGGAGCAGTGTTAAACAGAGAATGTATCTAGACATTTTTCTACTTAATATATTTAGATTCAGAGCAGTACTTTGCAATTTAACCCCCTTCCAGAGAACTGACTGTTGTTGCTCTTCCTGTGCAGATCCTGCTTTTAGAGTTGCACTGTTTTACTTTCCTTTTTCTCTTAATTTGAAAGGTCAAAGGTGATCTGCATTTTCCAGTCCTTCTTTAAACACTTACTCCCATTGTGTATCATGCTATTTTACTTTGATACTACGTCTCTCTTTTTTTGTTTTTCTTTTTTTTTTTTTTTTAAAAAAAAATTAAACTCTGTATGGATTGTTGCTGCCATTATTTGTTTTTTCGGAGGGGATGTGTCTATAAACCTGTAAGTATCTGCATTATTTCTCTCCTCTTTCTTCATTCTCTGCTTTTCTCTCTTCTGTTTCCATTTTCTTCCCTCGGTAGGTTACTGTGTCTTTGTGACTAAATTACTTCTCATATAGTAAGGTTTCTACTTATTCATTAGAATGTCTTTTCTTTCCCGGTTCCAGAAATTCCCCAAATTGTAGTCAAACGCATTGCACTTTTGATTTCTGTCTTTTATTGTATCTCATACTTTCACTGTGTAATAATATAATACTATAATTTTTATTGGCTTTTTTAAACCTTAATGTTTCGTTATCTCGTCTAACTATACCAAGGGGTAGAGTATATGTGAAATTTGGTGTCCTTCAGGACTCAGATGGTCTTCCTCTGCATTTGCCTTGTGAAAGTTTCCTTGTTACACTCTACACATCATTTGATATTGATGATTGAGTTTATCTTTACTCTTTTTCTGAATAATGGTTAAATTGCTTTGAGCTGCCTTTCAATGACTGGTTAAAGTATCACTGAAGCTCCAGAGGCTCCAGAACTGCCACTGGTGTGGAGAAGGGTTTGAATCTGAGCTTCAGTATTTATAAGCTTCATATGAAGGCAGGAATAAAAGAATTGGGTCTATACAGTTAACTTTCAGAACAGCAGACTCATTTTTGAGAAGAGACTAACCTTAGAGAAATGTTTATCTGAAATCTCCAGAAATCTAGGGACTTAAAATAATAGTTGCTATTACACTCATAATTATAATAAAAATATATTTTTTTAAAAAATACTGTAGTAGTAGAAGTCTGCCTCTCCTGTGGTATTTTACCAGTCTCCAAACTGTCACTGACCTGCTGTGATTGTTTGTTATGATATGCTCATCTCTTCTATGGAATTCCATATTTTGGGACATTTTCTAGGAAGTTCTGAAACACTGCAACTGTTGTCAGCATTGATCATGGTCCTGCAGAAATAGAAGACTTGGACTCTACTGGAAATAATGCAATTGATTACGTGTACGAAGGAGGAAGTGTCAACCTACTTGATGCCTAAATGATAACATTCTTATTTTAGCTGGGAGAAGCTGAGAAAGGACAAGCAGAGTCTGGCTCAATAACAGTCTCTCAGATGGTTGCGAGAAGACCCATGAGAGATTTTGTTGGATTAGGAGACTGTGATAAGACTACCCGGGATGCCATGCTGAACTTCAGCTTCTATCTGACTGCTGGAGACATGGATGAGGCCTTCAAATCCATCAAGCTGATAAAAAGGTACCCTAAGTATTTGTATGTATTTCTTTATGGATACAGTTTATTTTCATTAGAAGTTTGTATGAAGTTTTGATCCTCCTAAATTCTCCTTACGTTTTTTCTCTCCGATTTCATTCTCCCTTTCATTTTTAACAAGATGAAATATCTTTATCGTACAGAAACTTTAACATATGCTCTGCTTATTCTTTGTCTACAAGATGTTGCAAGCTCTGTGGATTCTTTTTTACTAACCGGGAAAAAATAAGTAACAAGCAACTTTATTCTGTATCTGAATGGCAAAAATCTCACATTGTCACTAGAAGAGAATGAACATTCACAACTTTATTTATACATCTAAAATAATCACAGTAATACCAAGTATTACAAATTACTGACCACATAGCCAATTTTTAAATTTAAATGTACATTATTATAATATGGATATTGCAATATTAGAAGAAATAATATAATGTCTTTTAAATATTCCAATATTTTATTTTTTAAAAACCCTGCAATTAATCATAGCATATTGTTTCTAGAAAATATTTTCCAGAAAGTAATGCAGGCAAATGAATACAAATCTTAGTTGGTTTTTACAAACCTACTGCTAGAAGAAACTCTTTGTTAGCTTTATGGTATTCTACCCTGATAGTCTAGAACAATGCAATTATTCTAGAGCATCAGCCTCTGCAGAGTGTTGCTCACTTTGAACATGGTGCAGAGCAGCAGTTGGGGTTGAGTTTCTTATTACATCAGAACTGAGTGCAGAACAGAACTCAAGAGCCAGCTTGATGATCACATTTTAACAAAGGGTGGAAAAGTATGGTGGAAATAATGGTAAAGAAGAAAAGCAGTGTACTCAGCTTGGTGTCAACAGTCCTAAAGAATTTGTAACGCTTACAGCTTGTGGTCATTCAAACCTATCATTAGCCATGCTCAGAGTAGCATCCTCAGAGTTTTCAAACATCTGATATTACCTCTAGTTCCTGTATCCTAAGTATTTCTGCATAATAGTTTTTGACCTGTTGTTTTTCTTCCTGAAAGTTACTGCACATGACTTTTGTGAGCCCATGTGCTTCTCAGGGTCATGCCTAATTCCAAAGGTACTAATTATTTGCATTTCATGACTGTATTAAGTAACTAGGCAGGTCTTTTTTAATTCTCATGCTTAAGTCTTATTCTCCAATTTGGGTGCTTGAGTGGCAGTTATATTGGCCAATATTCACTGTGCTATGTGCCTTTGAGCATTGCTGGGCAGAGCTGGGTGTCCTGACATAGCACTCTAACCTGAAAATGTCACAGCAAATGTTAAAGCAAACTGGGAAGGAAAGAAATTAATTGGAGCTGAAATAGCTGTTCTTAATAATTGTTTCTGGTAATGTAAGTTAATAGTATCTGTGATTATTAGGGAGTCCAGGTAACTACTTCTGTAGATATTTGCCCTCATTGTAACACTGAAATAGATTTTTCAGCAACATGTATGGCCTTTCTAGCTGCGTACCCTTTTCATTTCTAATGGCATGTCTGTTTACATATAGGATAAACCCAAACCTTTGTCTCAGGATACAAAAGAACTGTCTCAAAAAGTGCAGCTTAATTCTTTTACATTCCCTTATGCTACAGTTAGACTGGTTAGAGTCGCTTTTGCTTTTTACTGTCTGGGCTATGCTGTGGCTGGGAAGCAGCTGTTGCAGCTAATGAGAAGTTCCTTGAAGAGAGATGGATGGAAGGACTAAAGATGAAGTTTAAACAGCTGTTAAAATCATCACTTATTCTATGGTGAGTTTTCTGCTTTCCTAGATTGCCTGTTAACTCAAAGCTATTGTCACTGGTCTCCTATAGCCTTTTACATTATTATTAGGAAGCAGGATAACTTTACGCAGACAGAGAAAACATGTTTGGTTGCCTCTTTTCTATATTCTCATTGCATACACTCTGTGTCTGCTACAGCTGACCCTGCTGATGTGTAGCTGTGATGCTCTGTCAGGATTCTGATAATCCAACATTCTGTGCTGTACAGCAGAGGGAGAGGGCAATATAATATATATAAAATTATGTGTTTTATACATATGTATATAGATGGAGTCCATCCATCCAAATAATAATCGAGGGCTGCTGCCCACAAGAGTGAGCTTTGTGATGTCTTTCAACCCTTAGTGTTAAATTATAGCATACATTTATAGAAGACAACTCCAATGCAGATCTCGTGGAGATCTTTCCCCTTTCAAGTCCACTCTTTTAGCATGGTGACTCAACGTAGTCATTTTCCAGGCCACGGCGAAACCGAGCGGTCAGGGTACGGCTAATGACAATGACCCGGGGTGCCATGCAGTCCTCCCGCCGATGAAGGATGTTCCATATGAGAATGGCAGCTGCCAGCGTGGCCAAAAGACAAGCTCCAATGTTCAGATAGCAAGACCAAGAGAGGTTGGTGTATGGTCCGATGCGATAGAAAGTCACCAATCCGATAACCAGAACAAAACCTGCAAGGAGAATGTGAGAATTATTGTGAATGAATTACTCTTGAATTTCTGTAGTGGCAAGATGCCATAGGCGAACATTCATGAGTCTGTGAGCCTTTCCATCCTTATTAGTGTCCTGTATGTGTTCTTGAAGGCATATTTGGGCATGATGATATATGCAAAGACTGGGTGCCCAAAATGGAATCTCAATGTTAGGTTTAAATCTGTTCACTCTGATTTAAATTTCTTACTACCACTTAGCTGCATTTCACATTGTGGCTTTTTGCCCATCCTTTTGTGTCACTTAGACAGATGTCCTCTTTCTTATTCCTGTTGGCAACACAGAAAACTGGTGTATTAATGATAATAATAATAATGAAAATATTTTATTCAGAATATGGTACACTTATTCTGAAATTTTAAAATGTTCATGTAAGGCAGGCCAATATTGTAAACTGCAAAGATGATGAACAGCTAAATATGTTACAGAAATAATAAAAAGATGTACAGAAGCTTAAACAAAAGGGAAGGTGAAATAAATGGGACTTTATTGTCCTACTTTTCTACGCTGGAAAAAAGCATTATGAGGCAGGAGTAATCTCATGCCTCTAGAAGCTATTGAAGGCAAGATTTCCATTCCCTTCCTAACCTTAAGCACAGTAGTAAGTTCCCTAAAAGGTAGGTAATATTATAGTAGTAACAGTGCAGGTGTCTAGCATTTCCATCCAGATGTCACAATGTGATTTGCAAAAAAACTGGGGAAAAAGTATTTTCCACCTTCTTTTTGTAGACATCACTGATAAATAGTAATGTTACTTCAGAGATGAGGTGGGCTGACTTTTCTAGTCTTGCAGGGGGTCCATACTGGAATAAGGGACAGAATCCATATCCCTTGACTCCTACTTTTTCATGTTACTAAGACTGCCCTTTCTCTGAAGAATGCATCCATAAGCACACAGTTACCTTTCTGCCCTATGTTTATCATATTAGTTTCTCTTCCTGTCCCTGCTCGCAAGTAGAACTACTTTTAGGCTTTTTTAAGGAAAGTAATTTATACACATGATTAGATTGAAACGAACGTACGAAGAGGCAAATATGCCTCGCTAACCAAAATAAGGTGTTCTTTGTTCTCCTACACGCTTCCTTAACCACCACTGTAACACAAGGAATATCATTGACAAAAGGACCCCTTCATGGAGGAGGACTAGAATAAACAAAGGCCCATAAACTGCCAGAGGATTTCTAGTTACCATCTTCCAAAGTTCATGGGCAAGGACAAGTCATGGGCAAGTAAGTCCCAGTGGCTGCACGCTGTCTTCTCAGCCACACTGCTTGCAAACACTGTTCTCACAGATTCATGGCAACGCTCTAAAAAAGGTGTGACACCTGTCTCTGGTCCTTGATTTTCCCTGAAAGAGCACATCCTGAGTATGTGTTGTATCAGGTTTCTTTCTAAAGTGACTCCTAGTAATGCAGTAAGATGGAAAAGACACAAATTATATACAGATTTAAAAAAAAATAGAGGAGGGAAATGAAATACAAATAGGAGGAAAAAAAAAATCAATCACTACTTAAGTAGGTGTGGCACTTTTACTATTCTGAGAGTCAGTAATGTGAAGGCTGAATCCCCCTCCTAATAAAACAAGCAATGAACAAATCTTAATTCAGGAGACAACTGGCATCCTCAGCTCTCTTGTGTCTACCTAGAATGTGTTTTGTAACTCAGTTTCTTGCTACACCTTCTTCTGAAGTGGCACTGTCCCACAGGTGGCATGTATCAGAGAGGGTTAGAAGTGAGACATCTCTTCCTAAGGATATATGAGGAGGAAATGGGTTCTTACAGGAGTAGCAGCTCTTTCACCACTCTGCAGTAGCCTTTGCTTGGAAAAAGTCTAACACGCTCTGGATGGGTTTCAGGCTGTTGGCTCAGTTGTAAGGACAGCAGTTAATAACTCCTTGATTTTGTCAGTGAATCTAGTAGTTATTTAATGGTTCAGCTTAGTTATAAACGAACAAGTTTCATCTGGGATAAGTGTGGCCACATGGAGCACATTGACTTAATTGAGTTAGAGAAATCACTGATCTGTACAATAAGTGTTTGCTACTGCTCCCAAATTGAGTCTGCAGGCTTACTTAGGAGGCCTTTTTCACATTAGCCAAGTTGGAGATGGAATCCCAATACATAGGTGGTCATTGAGCATTATTTCAAAGTATACAGGTTTGAAAGTTGCTTCTCACCTCTGGCTCAAAAAGTACTGAGTTATGGCTGAGGTAGAAAAATTGTGAAGTTGTACTTTAGACAAATTAAGCTTGACTCTTCACTTTTTTCACTAATCACTGTTGGATGACACACCTTATGTCAGATTATGCATGCTTTTAAAATCCTGGTCTCCTGAAGCCAGGCAGATGTTATCTACATCCTTGGATGGACTGTTGAAGGCAAATCATCTGTCTTTGAGGGAATTAATTTTTCTGTGTATTCATATGCATAGCTCATCACCACGTGAAAGTGGGAGCGTTCTCTCCTTGTACATTCAAAATCCTCAGTGAAGTTTGCACATGTTTTTTTCAGTGTTCACTGAAATACTAGAATACTACTTTTGTCCCGAAAGCCACAGTTAATTCTACTCTTCCTTTACTGAAAGAGTGGTCAAACACTGGAACGGGCTGCCCAGGGAAGTGGTGGAGTCACTGTCCCTGGAGGTGTTCAAAAAATGTGTAGATGTGACACTTCGGGACGTGGCTTAGTGGGCATGGTGGTGTTAGGCGAACGGTTGGACTTGATGATCTCAGAGGTCTATTCTAACCTAATGATTCTGTGATGTTTCCTTGAATTGCTTTGGAATGCCCATGATTTTGCTGTTCGGTGTTATCTGGATCTTGTGTGACTTTAATCTATTTCTTTATTGTTAGCAGTAATAGCATACGAGAAGATTGCAGCAGAGCTGGGAAACAAAATAGTTTTCCCTCATTCCTGGTGTCATTCTCAGAGTTCAGTTTGTCCTGAGGCACATGGTAGAGAAGACAGGGGGAGATCAAATCCTGTACTGTGGAATACATAATTTTTTTTAAACTCTTGTCTCACATGGCTTGGTTCTCCATCTGTGGAATCCAGATGATAAAACTTCTTTTCTCCTGTGTTTTCTTGTGTTTCAGGGCGTTGGGAGCAGTGCTAGTTGTAATGTGCTTATAGAGAATGTGTATCTCTCCATCTATGTTTGAGGTCTTTAGGTTTTATAATACAGACAAACACTGATAGTTCTTTGCTCTTCTACAGGTTCCAATCCACTTTTCAAAGGATGATAGATACCGGTTTTGTCATAAAGGCAGGAAATCGAGAGAAAGAGAAATTGCTTGCACCTCCTGCAGGCAAGTTGTGGACCTGTTTCTTTTCATTCTGGTTTAAAATTTGCAGGAAGGAGGATATTGAGGTACAGATCAAGAGATCCATCTTACTGATGAGTACAGTACATGGCGAAACTTTGTGTAGCTGGTTTTCCTGTTCAGTTTTTCTTTCAGAACTCTTTTCCAGTTCACATACACTTTCACAGGGAATCCAAAAGCATAAGTAAATTTAAAAAAATCTGTGAAGCAA